ACATTCGGTAGATTTATAGAATATTGTAAAAATTATGGTCTATTACCAACATTATATATATATATATACATATGTTTATAGTGAGAAAAATCGAAAAAACGAACTACAAACATATTAACGCCAAACATTCGGTAAAATTTATAGAATATTGTAAAAATTATGGTCTATTACCAGCATATGTTTATATATATATGTTATATTCTATATATATGTGTGTATATATATATATATAAATATATATATATATATATTGTGAGTCGACTTGAATCTACAAGTACGTGAATTTATAAAGGGTTTATATAGGGTGAAAATTTTCGTGCTCACTCAAGTAAAGTCGGCCAGTACGAGTGCATAATGTACACTATCTCTCACCACTATAACTTAAATTTTGTCTTATAAAAAAAAACACCTTGGTTTGCGATGTTGTCTACTAATATAACAATTGCACTAAGTTGGTTAAGTTGGTGTTTAAACTCAGGCTACTGATGAGTCCCGTGAGGGACGAAACGCGTTTAGCTTAAAACGAGTTGGGTGTTCACAGAAATTCACCTTGGTTGGGGCGAGTGATAGTGTACATTACGTACTCGTACTGGCTGGCCGACCGTACTTGCGGGAGCAGGTCGGAAATTCTCACAGTATTTATATATATATATATATTTATTATTATTACAACTTATGTAGCGCCAATTAAAATGTAAAATTTATCAAAAACGCTCTCAAAATGCAAAAACAAAAACAATGTTAGGATGAAAACAAATAAGTCTTTAACAGCCTTCTAAATGTCAACAAATTCAGACCAGGATCTCGTAAATGGCTTGGGAGATTGTTCCATATCCTAGGAGCCAAAACAGCAAAATTTCTAGATCCTATTCTTAACTGGCTTGTCTGTACAGCCAGGTAATTTGACTCATCAGATCGCAAATTGACATAATGAGGTGCCCTTCGTGTTGTTTTGTCTATCAAATATCTAGGTGCACAATTATTGATGCATTTAAAAATTAATACACAAGTTTTGGTTGTATTTAAAGGCGCCAGACAAAACTCTAGCCGCACGATTTTGAATTGACTGTAACATCCCAAATGATTTTTCTGGTAAGCCGTTGAACAAACTGTTACAATAATCCAAACGCGAATGGATGAATGCATGCATTAACATCTTAAGAGTATTTTCGTCTATCGATTTTTTTATCAATTTCAACTTACGTAGTTGGAAAGTGCAAACTCTCATCAATGATTTTATGTGATGATCCAACGTTAACTTAGAATCAATGTTAACGCCCAAACTTGAAGCATTTGTACAGAATTCCACTTTGACATTATCTATATCCAGTGATGAGATATTTATTTTTGAAAGCTGTTGCCAGGTTCCTACCGGCAGTAGTTTTGTTTTACTCTGATTAAGTTTTAGTCTGTTTTTAATCATCCATTTATTGACCTCTGCCAGGCAACGTGTTAAGTTGTTACCCATTTCATCAAACTCATCTGGCGGGCAACTAGCAATAATCTGTATATCATCAGCAAAGGCATGCCTCGTGAATCCAAAGGACTTGATGACATCCAGGATCTCATGTGTGTACAACAGAAACAATATTGGTCCTAACACCGACCCCTGAGGAACTCCAAACTTTATGTTCTTAATTCTAGACCAGGTTTTATTGTAAAAAACCTGTTCAGTACGATTTGAAAAATATGATGTGAACCATGCGAGTACTGTCCCCTTTACACCAAAATCTTCACATAATCTCCGCAGTAGAATATCATGACCAACAGAATCGAAGGCTGCACTCATATCTAGGAAAGCAACCAGCGATACATATTGATTATCCATCGCTGCGCACAAAGTTGAAAAAACATGTAACAAGGCTGTTTCTGTCGAATGATATTTTCTGTATCCTGACTGATTACTATGCAACAAATTATTTTTAGACAAATGGTTTAACAGCTCGTTAGCGACAATTCTTTCCATTACCTTAGATATGAAGCGAAGATTTGATATTGGCCTATAATTGGTAATATCATTTACTATGCAACAAATTATTTTTAGACAAATGGTTTAACAGCTCGTTAGCGACAATTCTTTCCAATACCTTAGATATGAAGCGAAGATTTGATATTGGCCTATAATTGGTAATATCATTGACATCATGATCTATTCCTTTAAGAAGTGGTATAACCATTGCATGTTTAAAGGATGCAGGAACGATGCCATTAGTCAAACACAAGTTGATTAGACTTGTCAAAAACCCAGAGAACAAACCAATGTATTTTTTGAAGAAATACGCTGGAAGGCAATCAAGTAAACATGTTTTCGTTGGACACTTGTAATTATTTTTATTATTTCTTCTTCACTATATTTCCGGAATACTAGCAACCCACTGCCC